GGCCCTTCAACACAATAATTTAGGGAGCTGTGTTAAGACTTGGAAACAATGGACTAAAGTTTTTAATTTTGTGACCAATTATTTTTACTTCATAGTAAGTATATTTATTTATTTATTTATTTATTTAAAAAAAGGTCTACCTACAATTGTTACAATTTAACATACTAAATATAAACGTATGATAAAGTCTTATACTAATTGCACAATTACTTACAGGTAAACACCGCTAAACCATAATTAAAGTGTTAATTTACATATTATGTCAAGAAAAAAAAATTAATTAAAACATTTTAAAACAGAACAACAAAACAACCAGTGATTTAGATATTATGTGTAGTAAACATACAAAATAAAAATAACTTAATTTGAAATTGTGTCTAACAAGTACTTGCGAAACTTGTACGAGGAAACAAAATTTATATCTGTCCGGCTACTGATCCCATTATAAAGTTTACTTAACCTAGCTACAGGAGAGTTGTTACCAAGCACAGTCCTACGAAATGGTGGGGCAAGTGGAAGAATGGGAGCTCGCGGAAGTGTCCTGGGCACCCTAAATTTAATGTAACTTAGAAGTTGGGGACAGTCTATTTGACTTCTTAAAATTTTGAAAATAAAAGTTAGGTCGATAATAGCTCTGCGTTTTTCAAGAGAGTCCATGTTAAAATGTTTTAGCCTGTGGGAGTAAGAGTAAGAGAAGCCCCTTCGTCCCATTCCAGAAGAGTACGCCAGGTGCCAAAGAAATCTCTTATGTATCCTTTCTAGCCGCAGATAATGGGTAGCATAGTGCGGTCTCCATACTACGCTACAATACTCAAGAGTGCTACGAATAAAGGCATTATATAATATTTTTTTTGTTTGATAACTGCGAAAAATTTTACCGTTTCTAATAATAAATCCTAACATTTTCGATGCTTTCTTGACAATATGATCATAATGTGGAATAAATGTCAATTTGCGGTCAAACACTACCCCTAAGTCTAAAACAGTATCTACTTCACTTAAAGTAGAATCATCTATTATATAATGCGAGCTTATAAAGGTACGGTTTCGACAAAATTTAATATGAAAACATTTATTTACATTTAGGTTCATTGAGTTATTTTTACACCAGTGTGACAGCCTATTTAAATCAGATTGCAATAGTATTACATCGGAATCATCAACAATTTTACGAGAAATCTTTAAATCGTCTGCATAAAGATAAGGTTTAGAGTAAATAAAACTATCAGTTATATCGTTAATAAAGATGTTAAAAAGTATGGGCCCAAGATGTGATCCTTGCGGCACACCAGATGTTATATCGTAAGTATCAGAGTTAAACCCATCCAAGACTACGTAGAAGGAACGGTTACTTAAATAGGACTTAAACCAATCCCAAATCTTTCCTGTGAATCCATAGGAGCCTAATTTTCTTAGCAAAATTGAATGTGAAACTTTGTCGAATGCCTTGCTAAAATCGGTATAGATAACATCAACTTGATTTCTATTGTCAATGGCATCTACAAGATCTTCGACAAAAGTTACAAGATTAGTTAAAGTTGATCTATTTTTCACGAAACCGTGCTGAGAGTCAGTCATAAATTGTCGGAAATAGGTTTGAATATGAGGACAAACGATTGATTCAAGAAGCTTGGCTAATGTAGAAAGTAGCGAGATTGGCCGATAATTCGAAACAATACCAATATCACCTGATTTATAGACTGGTACTACCTTTGCAAGCTTCCACAGATCTGGAAACACTCCAGTAATAAATGACTCATTTATAATTTTACACAAAGGAAAAGCTAAACTATCAGTACAATTTTTAAGAAATATTGGCGCTAATCCATCGGCACCAGTACCTTTGGTAATATCTAAAGTTATGAGTTTATTAACAATAACATTGAGATCAACGGTAAGACTGGAAAAACATGAACTCCCATTATCAATGATTCTAAGACTTTCAACTTCAGAATGGGGTCCTTCTTTTGGATTATCACCATAGACCCTTGAATAAGTTGCAGCAAACAATTCACAAATGCTTTGGCCATTGTTTGCTATAGTGATACCATCTGTGACAGACCTGGGATAGGCACTAGACCCTCCACGTTTGCTTTTGATAAATGACCAAAAGTATTTTGAATTTTGCCTAATCGTTTTCTCTATGTTAACAATATAATTATTATAACACTCTTTAGCTAACTTATCGCATCTTTGACTTAAAATTTGTAGTTCAATTTCGTCTAAAGGGTTACTATATTTTTTATACTTAAGCCGAAGTTTATTTTTTTCCTTTAGTCTTGCAATCAGCACTTTATTAAACCATGGGGGGTGACGTTTAAGGCAATTAACATTTTTAATTGGAACAAATGTTTTAATGACTTCATTTATAGTATCATAAAATATTTCTAACATCCTATTCACGTCATTGCATAGGGAGAAGATTGAGTCCCAATCCAAACTAAAAAGATACTTATTTATTGCCTCATAATCAGCCTTATAAAAATTATACTTAAGAACACTCATATTAGGCGTTAGTTTTTCTGTTTCATCAGATGCGATATAAGTGCATATAGGTGGATGTTGTGGATCGATGTTGGATAAAACATCATAAGCAGAAGACACAGTACAGTTATCAATATCTGTAAGAACTAGATCCAATATTTTATCTCTAGCGTTAATTATACAGTTAATTTGTTTTAGATTATTAACAAAAGTAAAATCTATTAATGTTTGACAAAGACTGGTGGTGCAGTAGCTTGAATTGTGATTAACCTCCGTCGTATCTATATTACTCATATTAAAGTCGCCAATAATACATAGATGTCCGTCAAAATTCTCTAGAACCGCATTACAGTTATTAACAAAATGTTCTAACATGCTACGTTGAATTGGTGGTGGGAGGTAAACGGCGCAAAGTGCGATCTTTTTAACTACTGAAAAAGGCAGATTTATCACAATCCAAAGATCTTCACATGCACTATTCCATTCATTTATACAGTCAGAAGATAAGCTTTTTTTGACCGCGACCAGAACCCCACCTCCATCCTTGCCACCATGAAATCCTGACGTTTCTCTATCCCTTCTGAATACTGTGTAACGGTTATCAAATAGTTCGGAGCTCAATACGCTGCTGTTTAACCACGTCTCTGTTAAGACTATTACATCATAGTCACTAGTTGCTAACTTACGATTAAATGTTTGTGTTTTGGTCCTAAGACCTCTAACATTCTGGTAATAAATTACAAGCGAATTAATATTAGCAGATGACATTATATTTTAACTTTATATTAACTAATAGAAACAATTAGCGAATTACTCTAGTTTTGATAATGAATCAAAATTTTTAATTTGAATAAAGCCTGAATTTTCACTTTTTCTTAGAAATATACGTCCACCTCTCACCCAAACAAATTTAAACCCTTTTTTCCTTTGCAGTCTTCCTCGCCGCCGAATGCAATTCCTTATTTGCAGCTGACAAGTGCTCTGTTACGTATACCGGAGTCTTAGGACCATTAAAACCAAGGTGACTAGAGTTCAACTTATTATCCGGGTTAGCTTTATTAAATTTGATTGTGGCTGCTAAGAAGCTATCTCGTACTCTAGTGTTATTAAATTCAACTATCACCGAACGAGGACGATCATTATTCGGATTGAGTTTGGCAATTCTTGTTATTCGATTTATCTGTTCAGTTTTGATGTCACACTTTACTATACTGCAAATGTTGTTGAACACCGTGAAAAGATTTTCTGACTTCTTCTCTGGCAAGCATTGAATTTCGACGTTGCTGCTGCGGGCGTTCTGCTCAAGGTTGTTCATGCGTGTCTCAAGATATTTTATAGTACTCTGCAATTTGGCATTTGTTTCAATCAGACTCTTAGTATTAGTAGTAAGTATACATAGTTACTTTAATTTTAAATAAAACTGTTTTAGTATTTGGGCTGATAAAAAGTGCTGTTAAGAAAAAGGGTGCGTTACGTTTTAAAAATAGAAATAAGATTGGTGGTGGTAAAGAAGTGGTGGAGCTTTCGGAGATTGAAGAGAGAATATTAACATTATTGGGTGGCGAAAGTTTTGCATTTGGTGATAGGCACCTAGAAATTAACCCATGGCCCAGTCCTGAAAATAGTCCCTTTTTGCTGACTTTTATCCAGTTAATAGGCCTAAATCCAGTCCCATTTCTACCAATGGTAAGTTATTTTGCCTAACACAAAAATCAAATTATTTTTACTTCTATGGTTACCATACAAAACCAATTCAAGTATTATATTTTATCGATTGAAATCAAATCATATAAATATGCATAGTAATTAAATTATCAAAACAATACGAGTATGTTTTAGAAATTTCAAGTTTCAAATAAAAACCCTTTAATATAATTATCACATTAGATGTAAATAATTGTATCCTATTAATTATTGGGGTGATGGAAAGTACTTACTAGTCCTGATATGATTTGTATAACATCATCCAAAAAAAGTAAATATTTTTTGGGAAGAACTCTCTTCTTCTAATTTTTACATGATGTTCTTTATTATTTAACAAAACATTTGACATGCAAATATGAATATAATTAAATGATTGATGATTGATATTTGAAAGTTTTCAGGAACAGCAATCGACACCAACTTATATTGGAAATTTTCCAGCTGAAAAGGTTTCTGTTGCAGAGGTATATTATATGTTATTTTATTTATAAAAACTATGTGTATAATTTGTTTAAGTTTCTATATAAACTAGGATGTAGACTGTATATTATTGTAGGATCTAGATAGAGCTAATAAAATATTGATTCTATGTATATTTACATAAAATTATAGTACAAGAGTATGTCAGTTATCATTATTATTTTTTTCAGACAACACAACAACATGCGATTGACAGGTAGACTATTTTATGCCTACCTGGAACATCTGGGCCATCTTCTAGGCCAAGTGTTGTTCGCGTGGTGGGTAATCTACTATGGATAATTAAAATTTATTTATTAAACAATTTTAACACTTAATATATCCGATTCTAGGTATCATTAAGCCCTTTACCGATGGTTCAGTCTCCACCCTGCACCTCCTTCGGGATCAGGCAGCCACCCACGGCACTAGCTAAGAAATGCATAGCGCCAATTGACTGGATCTCCGGTGCATTATCACCCACTGCCCAATACAAGTAATTATATTTTATCATATTAGTAAATTTGAAGGATACCTCAAAGTTATGTTATCTGTATATCTTCTTCACGCCACTGTTTTCTCATTTCAAATATTAATAGCAAAAAACGTTAAAAATTAGAAAAACGTTAAAAGTTTTTCGGAGCGATTTTTGGCGATAGAAGAAGGAAATTCAGAAATAAATCGCCGAAATTCTGAGCTTTTAGAAATGCTTGTGAATAAAGCAGTGCAGAGCACTGAAGAAGGATTTAAATTATTAACAGAAATTAAAAAAAAATAGTTTTAGTGGTTTTTTTATTCTAGTTTTCTTTAAATATTAAGTTTTAATAATTAGAATACAATTTTACTAGCTTTATTAAATACTTAAACTTATTGATCTTTTAAATATTAACTGTAAATAATTAGAATAAAATTTTATTAGCTTTATTAAATACTTAAATTTATTGATCTTTTGAATGTTAAGTGTAAGTAATTAAAATATAATGTTACTAGCTTTATTAAAAACTTAAACTTATTGATCTTTTAAATATTAAGTGGAAATAATTAGAATACAATTTTACTAGATTTATTAAATACTTAAACTTATTGATCTTTTGAATATTAAGTGTAAATAATTAGAATACAATTTTACTGGCTTTATAAAATACTTAAACTTATTTATATTTTGATAATTAAGTGTAATTAGAATATAATTTTACTAGCTTTATTAAATCAAAAGAATACTTGACAGCTTTATTAAACAGACTTATTGATCCTAGTTTATAAAATATTATCTTAATACATAATAATTTAAAATAAACATTGTAAAACCAGTACACGTTTTTATCTAAAAATGACAATTTTAAACATTATAAAAGTTATTAAAATAAAATATGGGTTTTTATTTAACATAACGCACGTAACAGTGCTCGCCATAGAATATTAAATTAGTTCTTATCGACTAGACTGCCCTATTATAGCCTCTTGAGATATTGTTTATTTCTAGCCCCAGCTTGTGTATGAATGACTGTGTGTAAACGCAACTCCTCTTGACTGTCGAGGTCGTATAAAGCAGGAGCCGGTAGGCCTGCACGGTTACAAATTTTGTGTGACACACAACGTGCTATTACATTTTTGAATCCACATCAGGGTGGTAATGTAATACCCTGTATACCAAAAGAGATCTAAACCTCCCCTTAAGCCTGCCTATACCTCTCTCCACGGTATTACTCGCTGTCGCATGGAGTTTGTTGTAGTGTGCAGCAGGTGTACCCTCTTCTATATTAGGTACTGGTACCATCAAATATGCATGTTGTGTATGTGAAAAAACATACATTTAACTGTCCCATATCTAAGTATTTATCCTAACTAGCTGAATCCAGTGGTTTTACCCATGTGGATATTGAGATTATATTTATATTATATATTTACCAAAGTATTTTTATTGTATAAATTTTCATGTGGCAAACAAAAGGTTTTTAACCTCTCCTGTAATATATTCTGGAAGAATAGTCTGCTCTTAAACAAGCTATATTTGTATAGGTACTTGTAACTTATAGTATGCCTATGGTACTTTTTATTTTATCAACACATTATTTTTTACGAGGGCACTGAATATTTCGGGAATCAAGGAAGTGACATAACATTACTATTTAAAAATGTATTTATTGCTTTTCGAAGTATTCTCTGCGAAATTTGACACATTTTTCTATACGATGGAACCAATCATTGAAGCAACCATTCCATTCGGATGTTGGGGTCTCCAAAGTGGCCGTTTTGTAAGCATCCACAGCTTCTTCAGGTGATGAAAATCTCTGTCCACGCAATTTATTCTTTATTTTAGGGAAAGTATAGAAATCATTAGGGCTTAGGTCGGGGCTGTACGGCGGATGGTCTAATAATTCTATGTTTTCTTCCTCTAAAAGCTCTTTTGTTCTGTGTGTGGTGTGAGAACTCGCATTGTCGTGATGGAGTATGATGCGGCGGTTGCAGTTCTCTTTACGGAAATCAGAAACGACCTGTGGCAAACAAATACTAGCATACCATTCTGGTTTAACCGTTCTTTGTCCCTCAAGAGGCTAATAGTCGTAACATGGCCGCTTTTGGAGACAAACGTGGCCACCATTTTTTTTGACTCCGTGAACGAACAATTTTTGTTGGCATTAACTCATTTGCGAACCCAAACTCGTGACTGGTTTTTTGTTTCGGGTTCGTACGCAAATATCCAGGATTCGTCACCTGATACGATGTATACAGCATTTGAGGATCCTGCGTGGAATCTTTCGAGAGTTCTGACGCACCAAGTAACGCGAGCCGCTTTTTGTTCTTCACAGAGCGAATGCGGTATCCATCGGGAAAACAACTTTTTTACACCTGAATGTTCATGCAAGATTATTTGTATTTGACTCATGCCAATGTCTAAAGTTGCCTGAATTTCGCTGTATGTCACATATCGATCTTCCTCAATCAGCTCACGCACATTATCAACGATTTATTGGGTGACTGCAGTTTTTGGACGACTGTATTATTGGACCTGTGCAGCTTACCTGTGAGAAGCTTCACGAGTTAATAAATTATGTGGAATATTTTAATAACTAATGTGCTCATGTTGCCTGACAGTGATCGCTAGAACAAAGGAGACCTGTGCAGCTTACCTGTGAGAAGCTTCACGAGTTAATAAATTATGTGGAATAATTTAATAACTAATGTGCTCATGTTGCCTCACAGTGATCGCCAGAACAAAGGAGACCTGTGCAGCTTACCTGTGAGAAGCTTCACGAGTTAATAAATTATGTGGAATATTTTAATAACTAATGTGCTCATGTTGCCTCGCAGTGATCGCTAGAACAAAGGAGACCTGTGCAGCTTACCTGTGAGAAGCTTCACGAGTTAATAAATTATGTGGAATATTTTAATAACTAATGTGCTCATGTTGCCTCGCAATGATCGCTAGAACAAAGGAGACCTGTGCAGCTTACCTGTGAGAAGCTTCACGAGTTAATAAATTATGTGGAATATTTTAATAACTAATGTGCTCATGTTGCCTTGCAGTGATCGCTAGAACAAAGGAGACCTGTGCAGCTTAACTGTGAAAAGCTTCACGAGTTAATAAATTATGTGGAATATTTTAATAACTAATGTGCTCATGTTGCCTCGCAATGATCGCTAGAACAAAGGAGACCTGTGCAGCTTACCTGTGTGAAGCCTCACGAGTAAATAAATTATAAGTGGAATATTTTAATAACTATTGTGCTCATATTGTGACCAGGATTAAGAAAGGAATGCTTCGGTGGTTTGGTCATGTAGAAAGAATGAATGAGGAAAGAGTGACAAAGCAAATTTATATGGCAGATGTGAATGGCCGAGTCGGGAAGGGACGCCCTAGAAAAAATTTTATCGACCAAATTGGCGATATTTTGAAAATGCGTAGATATATGGATGTAAAGGAGGCGAAAGAGGTATGTCAGGATCGTGTCAAATGGAAGTCTGTAGTCTCTGCCTACCCCTCTGTGTGACAGGCGTGAGTGTTTATGTATTTATGTATTTTATGTATTAACGATAACTTACCTCATCTCTTTCCTAATTTATTTTTGTTATTTAAGTATACTTTAAATATAGCTTATTTCTTGATGATATGTACTGTAAAACTTTCGCAAAAGAATATATAGCCGAGCCTGATCTCTCTCTAGTCATGTCGTATTGCCGTCCCATCTGACTATGATAGTGAGGGGATAGAGTGCACCTGCATGTACATCGCATAGTACACGAGAGTGCATATGCGCACTCGTATACTGTCTTATACAGATGGGTAATCTCTATAAAGACTTGCCGTCGTGATTGATTTTTTTTCTAGATGACGTTATGATCACATTCACTAGAGATAAAAGGCAATCAGAGAGGTAATTTATGCATCATTAAAGAAACAACTGTTTTAATCGAGACACATCGATATCATTACTGTAATGATCGGACGAGACATGCACTGCGACGTCAATTTGTTCTCGATTGCGCTTTATTTTGTTTTTGTTTTACATTTGCTTACAGAAAGAAATATACTAAAGAATATTTGCATAAAAATCGAATTTGACATAACACATAAACATTCACGCAGAGGGGTAGGCAGAGACACAGACTTCCATTTGGCACGATTCTAACACACCTCTCTCGCCATCTCCACATTTCCTAATTTGGCCCATTTTCAATATATCGCCAATTTGGTCGATACACTTTCGCCTAGGACGTCCTTTTCCGAATCTTCTGCAACATAAATTTGCTTTGTCACTCTTTCCTCATTCATTCTTTCTACATAACTAAACCACCGTAGTATTCCTTTTTTAATCCTGGCTTCAACATCATTTTTCTCACCCTGTCACTCAGATTCAGCCCTAATATACTCGAATTTGATAAGTTACTTATATCAAAAATGCAGAGCGGTGAAGGCATAATAATAAATTCAAAAGTCATTGTTTTCGTTTTTTTCTTTTGTATAAAACTGTAGTGAATTAAAGTGAAATGAGATCTCTGGATTTTTCAACTAAATTGAAATTTCGTTCCTCAAAAATATATAATCTATTTATTACTCTACCGTTTCAAAATGAAATTCTTCTGACCGGAGAAGAGACGGTGGAAAAAGCTCCGTAGAACTTATGGTGCATCTGATGTTAAGTGGCTCTAGCAATCTATGGGCAACTCTAGCGAACTTTAAGCAAAGGAAGCTAAGGAATTACTTCTGAGGACTAAGGTGGCTTCACGACCTTTAATTCACTGGTACTTCATACGGAAACATAGCCGTGCAACCACTGCTATCTAACTGCAGAAATAGCTATCTTTTGGTTTATCCACTCCACCAGGTGGTAATAAACTAACCAATCATGAGTGGAACTTCTACCCAGTAATTTATCATTACTACTGCCCTTCGCGAGTCCAGTGCTGTAACACCAAAAAATCCCCTGGATTTTTTGGGTTTGTTAGAATTTCACAAAACCCACCTGTATTTATTTAGCGGAAGGTTGCGAAGAA